GTTGCTATACCGTACGGTCTTTTTGTTGAATGGTCAGCAAACTGGAGTGTCATGCGAGTGTCTTGTACCTCACCTAACTCCAACTTCTTGTAAATTGAAAGGGGCATTAGACTTACACTTGCTCCCAAATCAATCAGCGCTTTTTTAAAAGATCTATCTCCAATGGTACATGGGATTGTGACAGCTCCTCTGTCCTTCTTCTTCACTGGAATTTTTAGACCCTGCAAAATGGCACTACAAGTTTCCGTTAGCATAACCGGTTCATCTTCAATTGATCTCTTCTTCGATATTATGTCCTTCATGAATTTGGCATATATCGGCATCTGTTCTAATGCTTCAGCAAATGGCATGTTGATCTCAAGCTTCTTGAATAGCTCTAGAAACTTCTCAAAACTTTTTCTCTGGAGATCTTTCTTCTTTGTTCTTGTTGGGAAAGGAAGGATGATTTGTGGTTGCTGTTTCTCTGGTTGGATCAACGGCTTCACTGTCACTTCCTCAGAATTTTTTTGTTCCTCTCTAATCTCTAAATCAACTTCCAACAAACTATCTTCTTCTGCCTGTTCTTCAATTTTTTTCTCACTAGCTTTTCCTTTTCTTGTAGCTACCGCATTGATATGATTTTGATCCCGTGGGTTTACAATTGTTCCACTAGGAAGCGTACCCGGAGCTTGAGAATTTGCTGCTAGTTGTTGTGCTATCTGACTCATCTGGATTTCGAGATTTTTGATTGATGCTGAAGTATTCTTCTGATTATTTCTAGTTTCCTCTTGAAACTGGATATTATGAGTGGCCATCTTTTCAATCGCAATCTCCCAATCAGCTTTCTTTGGTGCTTGTTGTTGTTGTTGAAATTGATTATGATATTGGCTCTGACCCTGTTGCTGTGCATTCCCCTTCTGATATTGATTTTGATCCCTCCAAGCAAAGTTTGGGTGATTTTTCCACCCCGGATTATATGTATTGGAGTAGGGGTTGTTTTGCTTCAAAAATTTGATATCTTCGATCTGCTGAGGTGTAGCAAAACAGTGAACAGTATTGTGTGGTCCACTACAAATTTCACAAACACTTTCTGGAGCTTGTTGTACCTGAGCCACCTTCTGAGCACCAATATTCAACGCCTTCAACCTTTTTTCGACTTCTACAGCAACTGCTTGTTCAATCTCAACCTGTTTATTAGTCTCGAGTTTTAAATCGATGACCGAAGACTTGCTTGCTACTCTATCATACAACTCCAAGTGCTCATTTGAGGCAATAGCTTCAATTATCTTTTTCATGCCTTCAGCTGTTTGGAAGTTAGATGAACCTCCAGCTGCAGAATCAAGAAGTCGCCTCGTTTCAAGGCGAAGACCATTGACAAACATCTGCATTATGTCAGTTTCATCCATGTTATGTGTCGGACATGCAACTACTACCCTTTTGAATCTTTTGTGGGCATCTCCCAATGTCTCACCATTTCTCTGCTTGAAGTTTATTATTTCATATCTTTTTCGCAATGCAACAGATGCGGGGAAGTATTCTTGTAGGAAGGCCTTCTCCATCTCCTCCCAGGTGGTGATGCTACCTTCTGGTAAAGAATAAAACCACTCTTCAGCTTCTTCTGCTAAAGTAAACGGGAACATTCGAAGCCTTTTAGCTTCTTCAGTATGTCCGTCTATCTTCAGTGTTGAGCTCATAGTCAGAAATCGTTGGAGATGTTTGTTGGCATCTTCATTGACTCGTCCAGAAAACGATCGTCTTTCCAATTGATTAATAGTGCTGGGATGCAACTGAAATTGTGCTACATTAACCGGTTGGTTAACAATCGTGGTTCGGCCTCTAGGATTGTTGTTTCCACCATAGTCACCCAAAAGTCTCGGAGGACGGGGTGGATCTTCAGCCATGGTTTTAGGAATTTCCTCTGTCTCTCGACTTGAGTCTTCTGAATCTGACTCTGAATTTTCTGAATGTACTGAAAAAGTTTCCCGCTCAAATTTCTCTGATGTGTCCAGTCTTTCTTTTCTTGCTTGTCTGAGTCTGGCACGCAATGTTCTTTCAGGTTCTGCGTCAAAAGAAAATTGAGCTGAGGCCTTACCTCGCATAAAAAGATTAGACAAATATTAGTTTAAGGAATAAAATTTTAATTGACGAGCAATAAAATTTCAATTGAATATCCGTTAAATTGGTATCTTGGCAATCCCCGGCAACGGCGCCAAAAACTTGATAGGAAAATAGCAAGTGTACTATTTTTGCCTATTGTAGTAATAAGAAATTTATTTCCCGAATATCGTTCTCAAGGATTGCGTGAATATACCAATTAGTTTGATTCAATTGAACAAAATAACAATGTGATTTGTTTAGGAATATAATCTAAAAACTAAAACAAGTACAATAGTTTGCTCTTCAAATATTAAAGGTGCTAGGGGGAATAGCCAATTTTGCTTGCAAAGAATGGGATTTCACGAAAATTAACGAACAGTTATTTGTTTTATAATATCAACCCTTAAATTGGTTTTCCGGAGTCCTCCGAAAAACCTTATGAACCTTTATAAAGCACATCAATACCCATGAATATACGATCATAAATTCATTCATTCACAAAACCGGGTTTTCAGTGATGTTCATGAGATGCCCTAGTCCTAGGTTCATCAACTATAAACCAATCGTGCAAGAACCCTAATCTATGTAGTCCTACAAAGATTAGCCGTAGATCATTCTTAATTTTTCCTAGAAAGAATGCATAAAAACATTGCACAATTGAGAATAAACACAAACTTCATAATTCAATAACTTAGAAATCCCAAATTCATTACAATAGCAAATTAGGACTACCCCCCTAGCAATGGGGGGTTTAGCCTCTCATTGTTCTCAAGTAATCCTTAAAGAAAAAGCAAGACATTACTTTAAGGTTGATGATGATGTAGATCTTCAATGGTGTCCACCCTTGAATTTCTTCACCTTCCCCCTTTTCACGTCAAAACCTTCTCTTCAATTTGATTCCTTATTCTCTTGATTCCAAAAATCCTTCTCCCTTTTGGAAATCCTCTTTTTATCACTTTAGGTCTCAGGTTCTCGATCCAAATACCCAGAATACCCCCAGACACCTCCAAAGTCTCAAAAATCATAAAGAACAAATTTCAGCCACGCACGCTGACACGGCCGTGTCAGCTGACACGGTCAGACCGTGTTCGTTTCTGGGGCTTGGCTGGGTGTGCGTAGAGAAGGCTGACACGGCCGTGTCAGCTGACACGGTCAGACCGTGTTCGCCACTGCTTCCCCTCCTTGCATTTCACTTAAATTCCTCTTTTCATGCACCAACTTTTGAGGGATCCTTCTCCAATCAAGACTGTACCTACACAACTCATCAAACGGGATCAAATGCACCAAAATCAACTCAATTAAACTACATAACCATAGAATAAAATAAAAACGATAAATACTCAAAGAAGACAATGAAAACTAAGCAAATTTATACAAAATGTTACCAAAAGATAAAAACTAATGTCGAATTCATGATGAAAGTAAGAAGAAATGGTGACCGATCACATTGTAAACACAAATGATTGTAATTTTGTCTAGAATTGATTATTGCCTCAAGTGACTAGGTTGTTAGTATTTATACTTTAGAGGACTAAGGTGTTTGTTGATACTCTTAGACTAGTTGTTGTTAGTCACTGGCAGGTAGTCCGTGCATCTGTAATCTGTTGAGATTAGTGAATTAAGTCCTTCTTGAAGGCAAAATCACCTTGCGAGTGGACCGAAGTAACCTTGTCGAAGGTGAACTTGGATAAACCAAAATAGTCTTTCCATTCTTTCCTTATTCTTATTCTTTCTAGTTAGTTTGAAAAACATTTTCAAAATAAAAAGCTTATTAGAAAACCCAATTCAAATCCCCAATTTCTTGTGTTTTTCTCATCTTTCAGTCGCAATTTCTGTAGTGGTGAAAAGAAACACTAAAAGTAGAGAAAAACAATGCATTTAAAAAGACCTAAGGTACGAGAGTTAGTTATACAAATGAAAGGTACTAGCATCCTATGTATCTATAGTATCCTATAGAAACCTTTTAAAATATTTTTTTGGTTAAAATTGATTTGTTTACTAAATGAGTGTGGGTATGAGAAAATAAGTATTTTTGTTGAAATTATTTGTTATGCTTAAGTGTTTTAAAATATTTATTAATGAAGAGAAATTTCGAAAATGCAATGACTTAATGTCAAAGTTTTTACAAAAGAGGTGTAAGTTTGAAAGTTAGAGTGTTTAGGATATCTAACTTAAGATTAATAAAATTAAAGATAGATGAAAGAATCACACAATCACTAAGAGACACACAATGACATGAAATCAAAAAATAATAATTTCCCTTAGATTTTTCAAGCAAGCAACGGAAAGGTTAATACCAAAGCACAAGCACTCAAAGATACACAAGAGATCCAAGAGAAAGCCATAGAATTAAATCTAAATTATTACAACATCAACCAATATTTGTCATGAAAGGCTAATTAAAGGGACAAAGAAAAATCAACTAAACAAAGTAATTAAAATGTTAACCTAACTAAAACAAAACATTAAAATTTTACTAGAATAAATGGATTAATTTTTTAAACAAAATTTATTAATTGAAATCACCTAAAAAAACCACATGCTTACTTAATTGATCTTAAAAATTACCAACTAATTAAAACAATAAAGCTCAAGAAAGAACTAATTAAAAGCTTAAAAGAAAAACTAACTAAACAAGGGTGGTGCAAGCAGGATTATGGGTGGTTGAAGGCAGAAGCCTGGATTGGGCTTAGGGATGCCATAGCCCACTTGAACACAATAAAAAAGAGCTAGATCAACATGGCAAGAGAGTGGGGAGGATTGGGCTGCAGGGCTCAAGGCCCAAACTAGAAATTAAAAGGGAATAAGTGGAAACCCTAGAATCAAAAGCTCAGTCGTTACACATTGGAAATTGGTCAAAATAAAATTAATTTCCAATATTAATCACTTCAACTAAAACCAATTGGACCGAAAGTCTCTCTTCTCTAATCAATTTGTTCGTGAAACCAAAAGTAATCGATCTCTCTTCTCTCAGCTTGAAGAATCATCGTGGATCGACAAGCCCCTTGGTTTTTCTCACAATTACGGTCTCCACAATAATCTAAAGAAATATAGCGTATGAACGCTTTCTTGACTGTATCAGGAACATCCTTAGATTTTACATGGTATGACCAACAACATAATATAAATTCATCGATTTGGGGTTTTAACATTTATCTAAGCATAAGTTTTTTGTAGGACTCAACCCGTATGGTGAGGGTGCAATGCAAGTAGAAACGTTAGCAAGCAAGTATCAAAGCGAAAGGGTTCAAACGAACAATCATACAAGGAATGGGGGTGAAAAGATAAATGGCAGAAGCAAAGTGACTTACCTCAAGGTTGACAAAAGAGTGAAGTAGAATACCAGGTAACAAGTTGTTCTTCTCCTTATTTGATGTATTTTGACAGAAAAAGTTTTTGTTGTTGGTGTAAGCAGTCTTTTCTTAGAGTTGCAGTAAAGATGAACAAATTTTTTTGTGTTGTTTCTTGTGGGATTTTTGGGTTTGTATAGTATTTTTTTTGGGTTCTCTTTTTCTGTGTACAAGACCTCTTTTTATAGGCACATTGGAGTGACATTGGGAGGGAAAATTCTAATAAGTTTGAACAAAAACGACACTCTGTTTTATCACTTTTGAGGTAGGTTGATGTTTTAGCCATTCTTGTGCAATTCCTAGCTTTTCTGGTGCAAATTTTGGACAGGTTTGTTTGGACAAACTCTCTTGCTCTATTTTGAGTTTTCTGTTATGCTATCATTTCCTTTTCAGTTTTGGCTCTTATCCCATTTGATGTAAGATTTTGACTGATAACATCTGATAGTGTACTGGTTTTTCTGTGGACATGGTGCAGGTTTTTTTTAACCATGGACAAGAATAGGCTATAGTTTTGACTGGACTTTGCAACTCATCCTCATGCCAAAATGCCTGTTTTGGTCTCTTTAGTGAATTGGACTTTATTTTGTATAATGGACTGATTTTTTATTTCATGACATTACTAAATCAAGCCTTTATTTCTTTCTTTTCATGTGTTGTTGAATGATGGTGGACATGAAGATTTTATGGGTGCATATGGAGCTATTTAAAATGAGTAAATTGGCGTTAAGTCGAAGGAAATTTAATCATGGCACGAAACTTGAAGATTATCATGAAGTCTTTAGATTTAGGCTTGGACTTTTCATGTAATATTGTAGCACGTCATGAAATTTTGCAACCATTTTGGATGAGTATGAATGGAATTTTGACTTGAATATAATTCCCTTTCCATTTCTTTGCAATTGTATGGCTTTTTGAATTAAAGAAGAATATTTCGACTCATTTAAAAACTTGAATCTTTGCATTTTGTTTATTTGATTTCCAAACAAAAACACATAAATGTACTTTCCAAATATATCAAACTGGCACCATAAGCATATTGGTCTTTCTGAATATCTTGTATCAAGGACAAATTCATTTGAATTAATTATGCCTCGCACGTTTGAATTGAATTGAAATCAAAGACATCATTTAAATGGATCCTCAAATCTTTTTTTACTAAAACCCTAACTCATATCTTCACTTCATAGTAACTTTCAATACAAGCCACTAGTACTTGAGTGAACAAATAGTGCCTTAAGAACTTTAGTCAAATATCCACTGTAATCCAATAATCGACAATGCCAAAACACAAGTGACTTGAGATAAGCGACAACTAATCAAAGAATCCCTGAATTCAATATCTTGTATCATAAATGATTTTAACATAAGAATCGATATATTAAAAAAAACAATTATGAAGTTGTTGTACCCCAAAATTTTCCTTCTCATATTATCAAGATTGTTGTACCCCAAAATTTGCCCTCCCATATTCTTCAAGAATTGCAAAGAGCATGCTTCAAAATCTCTCCAAGGGTTGCACAGTTCAAGGGCCTCCTAACAGTCAAAAATTAGGGTTTTGGTTCTGACAAAGAAAATGAAGTTTCCAAGGGTCCAATCAAGTCCCACATGCCTACAAACATGGTCAAGCATCCTCATGCCAAGTTTCAAGACTTACAGCACAAAATTGCACAGTCAAAAACCCTAATTGCACTACAGTCAACTGTAGGGGCAAAATGGCCATTTGACAGTCAAAAGTTCAAATTTTTGGTCAACATCTCATTTTGAAGCCACAAACATCATTTGATCAATGCTTGATCATGATTTTTAAAGCTTGGCTCAAAAAGTCTCAAGATGCAAAAGTTTCCATATTTGGATAGTTGAAAAAGTCAACTGTAACTTGACCAAGGCATAACTTTCACATGGATTATCAGAAAAATTCCATCCAAAAAGCTAATTTTGAAGAGAAAGACATTTCCTACAACTCCTCTTCACACTTCAAGTCCAAGAAATGCTCTCACAAAAAGTTATCAATTTCAACATTATAGGTCATTTTCAAAAGTCAACAAAAAGGGACTTTAAGTCAAAGGCCATAACTTGAGATGGGTAAATCAAAATGACATGGGACCAAAGACATTGGTTAGAGGACTCAAAGAACTTTCCAAAATGTCCAAGAACATGAGCAAAGCTTAAAAATTGAGCAAGATATGCCTTGTGGAAGTTGGGAAATTTTTGGATATTTTGAAAAGTCAACATTGCTTCAAATGTCTTAAAAATGCTAATGGGCCTCTTTTTCTTCCAAGAATCATTATCCAAGGCATGTGCACGACCATTTGGCCCAAAGGGAAGTTTTTCATCATTTTTATTTATTTATTTGAATTTTTAAATGCTAATAATTCATTTAATTAAAATAAATAGGTGGAAAATACTAAACCTAAGTTTTTAAATCTTTTTATGCATGGAATACACTCAATATTTCGTGCATGATCAGATTTGGAAAGAATCTTGGTAATTGGACATGATTTGAAGCAAATTTGCATGAAAAAGATTGGAAAATATATGCCATAAAAATCAAATATCTCTTCATCAATACAAAGGTTCTTTGGATCAATTTCTCAACCCTAATCACTCATACATATATATACATTCTAACCCTAGTGATCAGGACCTCCCAGCTGCGCAAGAACACCATAACCAAGCTTGAGTTTTTTTGATAAAAATTCAAATACTGAAAACCATCTTCCAGTGCGATTCAAGGCCAAATAATTATTCTATCGTGTTCCTGAAGCTTCAAGGAAGGAGTTTGAATCAAAACCATAAGCTCTAACACCAAGAAACGTGAGAACAATCGTGTCCTGTACAGAATTTTTTTCACATTCTTGCATCATGATTCATGCGTTTTCTGTAGTTTTTAACATTTGATTTGTGTTATTTGACTCATTACGAAGCTAACTACATGATTTAATTGAGTTTTTAAGCATTGTGCGTGATTTCACCATGGATGCATGCTAGGGTTACCAAGCTGTGGAATTGGGCATTTTTGAGTCTTGTAAAATTAGGACACCTTAATACCATGGATGAAATCAGGGAGCTTGGACGAATACAACACGCCCCTCGCGCCTAATTTATGTGATACCATAGCCTAATTGCTATTTTGAAAAACGGCATATTTTGAGGGGGTTTAAAACCCCCGTTAACCTTTTTTATGTTTCAGGGAAAAATCAAACAATGAAGAAGAAGACCCTGTGGCAAGCTGCGATTGGTTGGTTTGAAATTCGCGCGCGGAAGTCCCACTAACGTTTGTTTTATGTTATATTATTTGTTTCCTATTATATAATCAAAAGCGCGTTGGTAGCTCAGTGGCAAGCAAGCATATTGGTAATCTCCAGGACCTGGGTTCGACCCCCAGGTCCCCCATCCCTTTCCATATTATTTTTCTACTCACGCTTCTGTGCAGTTTCATTACAAGGGTGCATCATACATCCACAGTCTCAAGCTTGCCACGCACATATCAAGATCAATCAAAGGCCTATGATCTGAAGAACATAATGGACATGAGTCAACGCATATGCATGCTACCCTGGGAAGTCAACCAGGCCAAAGGTAAATGGGCCAAAGAAGCTGGACTTTACCTCCAATATTGGGGACAGAACCCCCAAGGTTTGCTATTCTTTTATATTTTCTATTTTTATTTGATTCAATTAATTTCCTTTAAATTCTTCAATTAATTTACTTTCATAAAAATATAAAAATAACAAAACAATCAGAAAGGTCATAAAAATAAAAAAAATATATTTTATTTTAATATTTTGTAAATAAAACTCATTAATTAACTTAGTTTTAAATTCTAGGATTAAACTTAATATTTTTCAATAAACCTAAAAATTGGTAGAATTAGGGTTTCAAGCATTTTTTATCCTTTTTTCTTTTTTCACCATATTAATTATTAATTATTTACTATTATTTTTATAAATCAAATTGCATTAATTAATTAGGTTTAATTTTAGGTAATTTTCATATTTTCTTAATAAATTAAAAAATGGCTAGAACTAGGGTAGTTAATATTTTAATTCCATTTAATTCTCATTAAAATCGTAAATACCAAAACCTCAAAAAAAAAACAATTTCTTTTTCATTTTAATCTCATTAATTTGTTAATAATTTAGTTTCGTTAAAAAGGGTCCAACGCCCTCGTTTTCAATTTTAATTCAATTCGCGCCTTTTATTTATTCCTTCTTTTAAATATTGATGTAATTCTCCCAAAGCCGTGTAAATTTAATTTCTCGCACTTTACTTCTTTATTTTCTGTCAAATCGGGTCCTGGATTTTAATTTGGCGATGTGGACCCGCGCCTTTGTAATAGTTTAGAAATTTTAATTTCCGCAACTTTTTAATTGTTAATAATGGCATGCAAGAATGAATGACAAAATAAAAACAAACGCGTAGATCACCTGACATGAACAAGATAAATGTAAATGAACATGACACACAAATCACACACCACCCCTAGGGTACGCCTCACGGTTGCCTTGCCTCGAAAGGTGATCGTCGAGTAGAGGATGTCTTAGTAAGTCTTCATGATCCGGGAACCTGGCATGAGGGTAGCTTCTAAGGTATCTTCCCATTGCTCCGGTGATCACTATGCCCCGAACCTCGAATTGACCCGAACAACTCCAATAGTGGTGCTACCTATCTCTCAATGGTGGGATGGCACTACTTTAAAGGACATTTACACAGACGAATTCCTTAGGGTAGGTAGACGACTCTAGATACTTGCTCTAATTTCAAACAAATTCAAAAATACTTTTCACACCGACACCTTTTCAAAAAAAATTCGAAAGCAATTTTTTTAAACACTCTTGAGGACTGATACAAGAGTCGAACTGGAATTTTCAAAGAAACTTTTTAAAACCCACAGTTGAAAAGCAAACAAACCATTTTTGAAAACACAAATGAGCAAGTATCTAAGAGCCCATGGATAACCATGGATAGAAAGGGTGCTAACACCTTCCCTTTCTATAACCTACCTCCCGAACCGAGAGCAATCTCTATAAGGAATTTTTCTGTGCTTTTGTCCTTTCCATTTGGAGAAAATAAAAGACGGTGGCAACTCTTGCTTCCGCAACATTTCGCGAACCAACGTTAAACAGTCAGTTCCAGATCCACCGATCACAGAACTGGCGACTCTGCTGGGGATATCTTTTTAAAGTGAGGTGTACCTTAGGGATAGTTCATAACTGTGTTTTCAATTGTATTGATTTACTTGCTTTAAATTGTGGGACTGTCTTGGGAGTTCTATAGATCCTAACC